GTTGTTTGAGGTGGCCAGTGACACATTGGTGGAAAACGACGAATTAGGCACCTTTTTACGTGTCCGAGGGGTCCCCTCATTAATGGAGGATTAGAAGGTCATTAAAACAAGAGAGCTAGTCTCTAAAACAGACATGGCTATGGCTTGATGCTAACATGTTTATTAGCTGTCAGAATTCTGAGAAAAAAGTCAGAATTCTGACTTTTTTTCCATATTAAACTGAAATAAACTTAAAAAATCAGTTAACTTTTTTTTTTTTTCCCAGTGGCCCTAATCCTCTTCCGTAAAAAAGCATGTTTTACACAAACAAATCTCATTACTCACAAATAAACATGTTGCACACAAATAAATCTTATTGTTCACAAACAAAACTTGTTGCTCAACACGCTTTATGTGTGTGTGCAACGTTTCGGCAGAAAATTCCCTCCATACTATTGCATGGAAAGAAAAAACCAGCAGCCACACGGCCCTTTATGGAACCAGTTTCACATCCCTGCCTTAGTGCTAATATAACACTTTAAGCCTAGAACCGTGAGGGGATCTGATGCAGGTCCCCATAAGGATGGTTGGTCCCCCATGATGTAGACGTTTTATGGACAGACGGATATCATCATTAATTTTAGCTCTGGTTTTTTTTCTCCATTTACCACAAAATGCTCCTACAGTCAATTTCCAGTAGGTAATCTATCATTCAAGGCTCATCTAATTGGTCAAATGCCAAAATAAAATGTACAGCCGTGTAGCAGGATCTATGCTGAATGGCTGGATATAGATGTTGTGTTTCTAGACTTCACTGATGGGGGGGGTAAGGGGTAAAGTGATGAAAAACAGTAACTTGCGCTATAAAGGGTTAAACTTTTATTAATGGTGACGATAAAGTTTTGGCTCCATAAGATGAAACTTTGTGGCTTCATGATGTCTGAGTGAGTTTCTGCCAGCAGGGGGCAGCAGAACACATCAGATGCCACATGTGATCCTGCAGCTGCTGGAACAGCAGCCCAGGAGGAAGAGCAGCTGGGGCTCCAGCAGCTGTTGGATCATTTCACTGACGTCCATATTTGGACCAGAACTGAGGAAACGGTTTGATTCCTGCCACTGTGCGCTCCGGTTCTGGTCGGATTGAGTCGGATCTGGTTTCCGGTTTTAGGAAGATCCGGATAAAGCGGCTCCTCTGACCTAACACCTTTCTTTCACCTCCCTGAGCCAAGGCGGCGCTCTCTATGACTCGCTGTTTATCCGGATCAGGTTCCATGTGAACCCTCTGCATTAAGCAGGGATTCATCCGCCGCTGAAAATAGAACCAAACATTTTCTCCTCCGGTTCTGATTCAAGCAGAGACGCCAATAAAAGCCTGAGATTAAAGTTCACAGTTTTGATCTTAGACTTTCAAATTCATAGTGCATCATAAGTCGTCCCCAGACTCGGACATGGACATGTCCTTCTAGAATCCCAGAGCATAAACATCAGCGCCATGAAGGAAGGAAGTTACAGAACCCAGAGCCATGCGGAGATGCCAGGCGGGTCAGAGAGCCACCGCTCTATGTTTGGACATTCTGCCCCGGGCTGCAGGGACCCGTTTCTAACTCTTTAAAAATAGCAGCCGGAGCCGGATGAGAGTGAGTAAACGTGCAACACAAATAAATCCCAGGCTGCCAGAAAGTCCCCGAATGCATCAGCGGGCAGATATTTACAACCTGCACATGTTCATGGCTTCAGCGTCACATGATGCTGGTGACCTCACCGAGGAGAGGCTGCAGCGCAGATTTCAACTGAATCGCTTCAAACCAGCGAAACCTGATCGCAGCAGCTTCATCCTCCTCATTCAACATCATTATAGCTCATGGAAATCCGTGGTGCACGCTTCATGGTCATTGAGCTGCGGGGGTCCATGGTGAACTGGAGGGGCGTTTGCTTATTTCACCTTTTCCACGGAAATGAGAAATTGGTCAGAAGTTGCGTTATGGTTTGAGCGGACATAGAGATGAAAGAGCAACGATAAGGCCTCTTTAGGCCTCAGGAGGAAGACGGAGGTCTTCTGAGTTCTAAGGAGGGAAAAACAGAAACTTTAATCTATTGAATGTTTTCTAGCTGAGCTCTGGGTGGTTCAGCTCTATATGGAGACTGGTTCCGTTTTCCTCCCCAGAGCAGAAAAATACGCCTGAGGCTGAAAGACTGAGAATATATGATCAGAGGGAGGAGAGGAGCGGTTTAGATTCACAGCTAGTCTGCTTTTCTCTGATCCCCCCCCACCTCCACCCGTCCTGTTAGTCACTGTTTCCTCATCATCTGTCAGCGCAGCACTCAGTGGTGAGTGTGTGTGCGGGGGGGTTGGACGTGCTCTCCGTCATGAGTGCAAATCCTGAAAATGTCAAAGGCACAAAGGCCAGAGTTTGACCCTCAACTTATTTACAAAGCAGTTTGGTTCTCAATTAAAGACTCTTCATGTAGAATAATATAAAACATGAATCCGACTGACTCTGTTCATGTGTTCA